GAGAATAAGTTTGGCTGTCGGGAAGAAGCAGAGTCAGAAAACACAATATAAAAACAAAATTTAAAAAATGCAATAAAACTAATAAAAAAAACAAAATTAATTAATCAAATAAAAAAATAATAATCCAAATAGTTTTAGATTAAAAATTCAATAAATAAATAAAAAAATCATTATCATGACCAAATGTTAAAGCTGATTAATTTATTAAATTAATTTATTGGTGGATATAAAAATCGGTTTGAAGTACCGTAATAGTTCACTCAAAAATTACAATTCTGTCATCACTCATCCTCATGTTTTGCTAAATCAGTATGACTTTCTTGTGGAACAAGACGATAATTTGAGAAATGTCTTTGTGTTTTTTGTCCATACACTCTCAGAAAAAAGGTACAAAAGTGGTACCTTTTCAAAAGCTACTAATATAACATTTAGATTTTAGGTACTAATATTAACCTCTTGAGACCCGGCAAAACATTTTAGGAAAAAATTTAGTATTTTTTCATGTCATTACACTGTTTAGAGCATTAATAAAAATGTAAAAAATAAAATAAAAACAAAATAAAAAATGAGATTTCATTCATAAGTTATGCTACGTCCTTGGTAGAGGACATCGGGACTCAAATTTTTTTTTTTTAATAAAAAGACATGAATGAACATGCATAGGCAAAAACAATAGATTTTTTTTACATTTATTGACAAGATTTTCATAATAATCTATAATATTTCATAGGAATATTGGAATATCATTTCTTTCCCTATTTATTTGTTGTGTCTCCCAAAATGTGTAATAAACATGCTTTTAGTCATATGATGTATAAAATAAATGTCCTGTTTCGTAACAGAAAGTCATATTTTGATTTGAAACCCCATAACATTTTCCTGAGATGCTGATTTATGACACACAGTTTAAAAATGAGTCAGATTTAAATGATAATTACAAAATATTATCATATTTCCATAAGAGTGTCAATACATTAATATCAGACATTTTTGAAGACCAAGGAGAGGGGGTGGTCATAGTGAAACATCCAAACATTTAGTATCTAGAATATGTACACTAAGGTATACGTATGCATCTTTTGGGGTAAAAAAGGCTGTAAAGATGTACATTTTGAAAAGGTACCGCCTCAGTGACAGCTTTTGTACCTTTTATTTTTATCCTGAGAGTGTTCAATAAAAGGCAGTCTTTACCAACATTTCTCAAATGATCTTCTTTTGTGTTTCACAGAAGAAAGTAAGGAGCAGAAATCTTCACGTTAATGTGCTGTTGATTTTTCTCTTGACTGTGGTTGTCCTGTCTCTCTCTAGACACATTCCAGAAGGATGTGTGCGTCATTGACAGAGGCATGTGAAGAGCAGAGAGACGTGTGTGTGAACCGTTCAAATAGCAGACGAGTGTGAGCCTGATGAATTCAACAGGACCTTTTAACCTGCTGCTCATGTGTTTAATAAAACAGAAAACAGACACTTTCTTGAATGATCTCTGTCAATAAAGTGTGAATTCTCCTGAAAACTAAAGCCGCACTTGAGTTCCAGCATGAAATATTAGACTATTAAAACTCATTACTAAGACTGTGAACTTATGTGTTATACGTATAAATGGAAAGTTAGACCTAATTAGTGCATTGGTACATTTTTGTTCAGCATGTTAGTATATTTTAATTATTAATTAATTTATTAATAATGTACATATTTATTTACATGTGTTCACCATGTCTTAAATATTTATAAAAATTAAAATATTTAATAGGTATATATTTAAGAATATATTTTTAGTAAGTTTTTTTTTTAATTATATTATATTTTGTCAGGGTTTCCCAAAAGATTGTGGGTGCAGGGGGTTTGTGCGTTGATGAAAAGCTGATCATTAAAGGCAGAGTAAGTGATTTCTGGTAGCCAATTGTTTTGTTTTGAAAAATCACTTACTCTGCCTTTAATTAAATAATTAAAACAGAAAATCTAAATAATAAACACACACACACACACTTAAATATTTTATTTGTTTACTTGAATGTCATGTGACCATTACCCAACATCAGAGAACTGTGAACATGAAAATGTGTTGTTAATTTATTAAGATATTAACTTAAAATCTCAGGGGTACTTCAAATAAACATTTTAGATCGACAGAGTTCCCTGACAAAAAAGTTTGGGAGTCCCTGAGTTACATAATAAAATGTAAAAGTTACATTTGATTGGATGAAAGTGCATAAAGATCTCCAGCAGAGGGCAGACTGACTCAAACATCATGTGGACTGATGTTTACGAAGAAGAATTTCTGCAGCTCAAATGGCTATGCAATATAAACATTATAATAATATAATATACTATGTCAAATGTAATATATATATATATATATATATATACTGTATATATTCCTCATATCTGAAGAAACACGTAGAGAGAAGCATCTGTTGACATGATCCTGATAGATACAGCCCTGCTGTAGGTTCTCTGGTTCTCAGGAGGACTGAATGAATGTCTGATTCTCTGCAGAGTGCGGCTGCTGTTGTTTGATGCCAGTTTGACTTTGGTCTAAATATATTTTCATAACATTGACCCTATATGATGGCAACACGCTGTTTTTTTAATATAAGGTCAGGTCTAGTGTTACAGGCCACTGTATCAAGTGGATTCATAAATCTAACACTGAAATCTGATGTTCCTGCTTTACTACTACAGACAAAAACATTGATTCTTCATGCACTGGTTAGTTTTGAGATTTTGGGTTATTCAGCTTTTCATAACTCAGACTAATGGAAAGAAAACATCCTAAATAGACCTTTAAGTGTTTATTTTATTACACTTTATCTATTTGCGTCTGTAGACTTCAATTACAGTACATATCTTTAAAGCCATTTTATCAAAAATAATTTTTTTCTTCTGCAAAGTCAGAAATCTCTGCTTCAGCAGCACTTACATACACTTATATACATTACAGTTTTATTCATATCTATATTCTGAGGGTATTTACAGAGGGGTTTGTTCATATGTCATTCGTCTAATTTTATACATACAATTTTATTCCTAAAAAAAACTTGGTGACGGTATTTTCAGATTTATGGAGTGATAAAACAGATATCTAAAATCAACTTTCCGAAAATATTTAATTCCAATATGTCAATTAATAAATTAAGCAAAAATGTTGAACCTGGCTTTACAATGTTCAGATTTTTGTTCTGGAAAATTATGCAAATTAGTGCATATTCAATTAGATAATGGCTCATTTGCAAATTTAAAGTCTGTGTAAAGCAATATTAAATATATGTTCTGAGTTTCACACCACAGAAAAAATGTGTTGTTAACCACCCAGCCATATTTGAATGGCAAAAAAAACGCCAAGTAAATAAAATAAGGTATCAAAATCTTGAAAAAAAAATAAGCAGTATTCTCTGCGGGGCGTGTCCGCTGGCGGCGCTGAAGCCACGCCCACTCGCGGGAAAGCTGCCGCCTCTCTGTCAAATACCGCTACAACCTGAATGGATCAGACATGATTTCAGCCCCGCCCAAAAAATCATGAATACAAAAATAGTGAAAAACTATTTAATGGCCTAACTCCACGATTCAGTGCTACAGTTCACATATAGTTGTTGTAACGTGTTTCAGCAATACATTTCTAAAATGTTTGTGTTTAGAAACAATTCTCTGAATTGCCTTTCCAAGACTTTAATGTTTGCAATTCTTAATGTAATTATCAACTGGGGAAAGTATGATTTCTAATTAAAATTTTTACCTTATTCACCCGTGGTGTCTTGCCTTTATCAGGCATACTGTATCTTTAGTTCTGCTCCAAAAATACATATTCACAATCATTGCAGATGAGACCATCATGCAGTGTGTGTTTTTCTAGGTCAGCATGAGAGGATCAGGGTTTGAGAGAGATGTTTCAGCACAGCAGGGGGGTCCGTGAGGAGAGGAATGTGGCCCTGCTGCTCGACAGGTGCTGGATTCAAAACACACACATGCAGACAGACAAATCACAACACACACACACACACACACACACACACAATACACCCCGAGGAGAAAACACTCTTTCTTATGTGAACTTTGATGTAAGACATTAGCATTTATTAGAAATGCAGCATTACATCACTTGCTCACCAGTGGATCCTCTGCAGTGAATGGGTGCCGTCAGAATGAGAGTCCAAACAGCTGATAAAAACATCACAGTAATCCACAAGTAATCCACAAGACTCCAGTCCATAATAACACTTCCTCCTGTGAAAAAGTCAATCTCCTGTTGTCTGCTCTCACATAAACATCCACCAATATATTTGTTTAGAACTGTTTTGGCTTGTAAACGTTTCTTGATGTGTACGTATTTCTCTCCTGATTCAGACGAAATGAACTGTAGGAAGCATTATAGTGGATAGTAACGTCTTAATAATGGATTTCTTTACTACAAACACACAACTTATCATGTCACAAGACATTAACTGATGCACTGGAGTGGTGTGGATTACTTGTGGATTATTGTGATGTTTTTATCAGCTGTTTGGACTCTCATTCTGACGGCACCCATTCACTGCAGAGGATCCATTGCTGAGCAAGTGATGCAATGCTACATTTCTCTGAATCTGTTCCCATGAAGAAACAAATTCATCTAAATCTTGGATGTCCTGAGGATTAGAATTTTTTTTCGCATATTTTCATTTTTGGGTGAACTATTCCTTTAATTCTGACATTTTATTGTTGCCAGATGTTAGTGGACCATGTTGATAGTTGATCTACACCTGTGTTTATTCCAACCGGACACCTGTGTGGAAAAAATCACTGCCAATAAAATGCCTCAGAAAAGCGCTGTTAGTCCTGAGAAAATCTCTAGCAACATATGTTTTGATATTTTATAAGTAATACAATGACATTCTGAATTAAGAGTGGCTTAAGTGTCCAAATACTTTTTGGAGCCACTGCATATTGACATTTCACAGCATAGCAGACGAATCAGCTCTGAGCAGATAAACTGGCACAGCAGACAGATAGTAAAGAGCCGTGGAGCCATGAGATGAACCGAACGTGTAAGGAGAGAGTGAAAGATTTGCGCTCTAATAATATCCTCCACTGACAGATTAGAGATACAGAGACGCTGTGGGTTAAATAAGAGGGCACATCTCTATTCTGTTATCAATAATCCGTTTGAGGACAACACGATACAAACCCACATTGTAAGGTAAGATGCTTCTACTGATGGGACATCTGCTGATCACAAGAGACATTGAAAAAATATATATTTCATGCTAAACTAAATGCAAGCGGTCTTCCGTTAATTTTGAGGTACTCTTGTTTTTTTGTTTATTTAGTACATTTCTGTATTTAATTTCCAGACACTGTTTTATTGTCTTATTAATAGCTTTTTGAAATAGTGAAAGTCTCATTTTATCAGCGTTCTTCATCCTGACATTCTCATAACTTTCATAATTAATAAAGTCTCTCGTAATGGTCAGGTAAGTATATGGGTTATTATGATGCATTAGAGAAATATAATTTAATATAATTAGTAGTTTTATCAATTTATCAATTTGTGAATAATTTCTGCAGATAAATTGAATAATCTAATCTAATCTAATCTAATATAATATAATATAATATAATAAATTTACCTAGGACAGTTGTTCTGTGTTGATATTTGTGAGTAATTGACGGTTTTCTTACAACCTTAAGCATTTATTTTTTCCAAAATGTACCCTACACCAAATGCTTTACCTCTTTAGATAACTTTCTATTTGTGGAACCGGACGGGTCCAAATTCTTGCTCTTGTGTTAATCCAGCTGAGAAAGTAGTAGGATCCCTCATGACTTTGTTTGAGGGGTGTTTCGGTCACTGACTAGAGATATGCAGAAAATGTGAGTGGGTCAGAGGAGGACAGGATGTGGCCGTGATGTATTCCTAAATTCAGTCAGTGGAAATTCAGTGGGAGTTAAATTTGATGTATCAAATGCATCTAGAAATCACTGAATAAAATGATTTTGCTCTCTTTTAGTTGCCAAGATGCCTGAACAAGGGTAAGTGTGGATCTCTAATACCAACAATAATCTCTGGTAATAAGTTGTCAGTATATACTAATGTACATTTTATGCTGTATTTTCAGGCAAGAGGTAAGTTATGCATTATTTTTTTCTAACAAATCAACTAAAACTTTGATTATTTGATCATCTGTACTACCTGTACTGCGGTATAACTTTCACATCTCTGGCCCAGAGGAAGTCCAAGATCTCAGCCTCAAGAAAGCTTATGCTAAAGGTTGGTTTGCAGCACGTATATATTCAACATTTACATTAATATTTATCATTTTTTTCCCGCTCAACAAGCAGCAATATTTGAGATTTAAGATTTTAATACTTGGAGGTTAGAGGTTTGTTAAAATCACTAATTCATAAGAAGAATAGTATTTTTTTTTTTGAGTCAATAACACATCACTAGATGTCTTAACCAAGATAATGTTGGGACTGTCCCAATTCCACAATTCTAGTCTTAAAAGTAAGTGTGTACCAGGACCGAAAAATGCCAAAGCTCAGTGCCCTTAATGAACACTAAATCCAGAATATCTCAAATTATGGCTTCAGAGCAGTATTTGAGGCTAAGCTTATCCCATCATTCATCATATTAATTAATATATTACATATAATCTGGTAGTAAAACACTTGCAACTGATTTGTATCACTTAATTGCAAGCACCACAATTAATAAACAATGTCTTGTGTTACATAGGGATACTAAAGAGACATTAAGAAATTTATTTTAAAGTGCAAAGTATTGAAAACCAAAATGTGTAAATAAAGCTCTGTAAATACTTTACTTGGATTTTTATACAACACTGTAAGTGTGTCCCATCAGGTAATTAAACGTTCTACACACTTGTGGTCCCACTTGAACACTTGGGCTAAATACCCAAAATATGCCACAGAAGTAGACAAGTTGTCAAAAGCAAAGACCACGGATTGGGTATTGGGACAGTCACAGGCCCATTGACATTTAGATGTGTGTGGTTTCAGAGTTTGATGGTGGCCAAGGCCAAAGAGGAGCTGGATCAGGAGATGTTGGATAAAGAGGAGGAGAAGCAGAGGTATCTGCTGGAGAAAATTCCTCCTCTGCAGACACAGGGCATGTCATTCGCTGAGCTTCAGGTAACCGTGCTAAATGAAGTCCCCCTCCAAACTTACAGTTTTGCTCATTTGGTGCCACACAACAATCCTCACGACTTGAAATCTAATGGTACAATCACTGCTGCTTGTGCTACTGCAACCATTGCTTATTTGCATATTAGCTTTCATAAGGCTGATGCAAATGTCTTGCCCAATGCCTATCTTAATTTGACTAATTGCAATGTAAATAGCCAACCATGGACATTTTTATGAGATGTATGTTTGAGTGAAACGATAAGTAGGAAAATTGCCATTTGATATTTGGTTTCTTATAACAAAAGACCTTTTTGGTTGAGCTTTTATGTTGTTAGTCGGCACCGTGTGTAATATAACACGCATTCACATAAAAAAAAAGGATTCCTGAAATTCAGTTAACATTTCTGTCTCTTTTAGGAACTCTGTCAAGAGCTTCATGCTAAGATTGATGTGGTGGATGAGGAGCGCTATGATATTGAAGCCAAAGTCTTACTGAATAAGCGTGAGGTATGAAAACCACATAAGCCATAGTTTAATAACCAGCTGGACAATGTCACAAGTTACTGTCTCCATCTGCTCTATTTGTAGGCTTCTAATATTAGTGTGCAATTCTTTGTGATTGTGATTTCATGAAAAGGTGGTAGAAATTTTGGTAGATGTTTTTTTTTTACAGAGGTATGGGCTATGAGCTGCCTTGCTGTCTACTCCCTACATAGGCCTAGTCAATTGCCTTCTAAGGGAAGATACGAACTGAAATTGAATCTAATTAGATACAATGTAAATAGACTACAACTGTGTCGTACAAAAAGTGCTACTCATGGGAATCAACTCCCAATTGATTCCAGTACAGTTTGGCATTAGCATGTTGCTAAGCTAACAACATGAGACTCTAATCAGCATAAAAATGACATCAAAGTACACACAAATATTTGCTAAAATAGTACATTAATTAGTATTAAATATATTTAGATATACTGTTCACTTTTGAAAGAATTTTGTTCATAATTGACATTTCTCTTGCTTCGCTTGCTATCTTGCATGGATTTTTACATTGCAGTGCATTATGGGATTGCCTTCTCCACAACAAATACGTGAGCTGCGTCCGGAATCACACACTGTCTGAGTACTACAGTGCAGCAGTACAGTATGAATGTGTGTAGTATGAATTTAATCCGGACATACTACATCATGCTGTCATTAGCTGTTTCCATCCAAAGTTGCGAATTTGAATTATGCACAAAATTGGAATATCGCATAAAACATTTGCATCACCGTTTCCATCCAGCGAGATGAAGAGAACAAAATTGTCACTTCCTGATAAACTGGTGCCAAATATCAGTAAAAAAAATTTTTAATTCTTAGTATGAGAAGCCACTGCGGGTCTTAATCATATAATAGCAATTTATTCAGTAAATGTGTTTCCATCGTGGTTTATGCATGTTTTATTATCGGATAAAAAATTGATCCGACTCAGTTGAGTGCATAAGCTTTTTATGCATATTTTTAAGACTCTATGCGTATCTTGCCATTTCCATTCAGCATTTGCACCAAAATGCACATAAAATCGTTTTTTTGTCTACTGTTTTATGAATAAGAATTCGGAAATACTATTCAATTCAAAAAAGATAGCAATGCTACCTTTGAACCTGTGAAGGTATAATTATGCTATCTATGTAGTGAGCTCACTAGCTTTTGGAACAAAGCCTTAGTGTGTATATATGCATATAGATATCTAATAAGCAACTAAACAAACGACCGTCCATCCTCTAGGTCAAAGACCTGAACATTAAAGTTCTGGACCTGAGGGGGAAGTTCAAGCGGCCCACCCTGAGGAGGGTGAGGGTTTCAGCAGACGCCATCCTCCGATCTCTCCTAGGCTCAAAGCACAAAGTCTCAATGGACCTACGAGCCAACCTCAAATCTGTAAAGAAAGAGGATACTGAGAAGGTATGACGTCATCTGAACATGTAAAGTTATATGACCAAGCCATTCAAGCCATGTCAGATGGGTATATCGATATGAATCAAACCTTATAAAACAAAACTATACACAAGTAGAAAGATCATGGAATGTTCCATGTAAGATAATGGGAGGAAACTGTTAATCCTTCAAGGTTACGCCAGTGAAAACATTACTAACCTTCTAACCTTCTATCTGGACTGGCACTTGGACAAGTTGTGGATCGAGCAATAGGCAATGAAAAGAAACAATGTACCCTGACTATTCAGAGCTTAACAGAGCTCAGACAGAAGGTTGACATCACCAGAAGCAGCTGTTTGAAAGGCAGAGGCTCATGGGACATGAAGCGGAGGAGTAAAAGGCAACGATTTTAGAGCGCAGTGACAATGTTCATTCTTTTCAGCGTTTGTCTTGAATATAATGCAGGTTGGGTGTATGGTACACTAGAAGAAAAGCTTTTGTGTGGATGTGTAGTTGACTTCAGTGGAAATAACCTTTTTTTAATTGTATTTATTTGATCAGAGAGATGAAACGCAACAAAAGAGAAATTCTTCAATAGTGTAGTGAAACCAGCAAATTAAATGGATGCTCAATTGAATGTCTTTGAACTGCATCAGTCGCATGCCGTCGATTACCCAGCAGTGGACAGTATTTTTACATTTTTACTTTTACTTGTCTCCATTCTGAAGCATAATATTGAACCTTTTACTTCATAAAAAAAAACATATTATTCCTCGTTATTTCAAACTTTAGAGTTCAGCTCCTGCTTTAACACATCATAAAGATGTCTGATTTGTGAACGAGCTGATTCTTTTCAATGAACATATTGAATCAGTTTGCAAATCGCACTGAATGATTCATTCGTGAATGGCCTAAACCAGTTATTGGAGCGGTTCACATGCCAACAAACAACTTATACTAAATATACTATTAAATACCAGATATACTGTTATTTCAGATGTCGCTGATATTGTAATTCATTGCAACTGCTCAGCATTGGTGCAAATGGCCAATAAGTAAATAATTACTAGCTTAGTTTATCTTTTATTATGTCAATATTCAGTTATTAGGAAGAGTCAATGGAAGGTGTACCAGTGCATTATTAGGATAAACAATGAGAAATATTTGTTGATGTACAAGGCTCATTATATACGTTTAATCTCTCCAAAAGATTCCCATGCTCAGTTTGGCATGTTTTTCTGATAGTCTGGCTGCGAATTATTGTTTACGAAAGCTTATAATCCTGACTTGCAGTGCTGAAATTAAACACATAATATAAAAAGCACAAAAAGCTCATCCAAACTGTATGTAGGTATGTAATTGACATTTTATTTAACTAAAACAATACACGTTTTGAGTTTTCTCTGGGGTTACAAGTCATATTTTAGTTATTTAGTTAAAATATCCTAAAAATATATAAGGAAAATAATAATATTTCAATATATTTTAGTTATAACATATATTTTTGGCCATTTATTATATTGCTTCTAGCTTTTTGACATGTCACATAACTAAAACAACATATGTTTTGAGGTTTCTTTCTTAAGTAGGCTAGCTATAGTTTGTTTACTTATTCTACATCCCCAATCCACCAACCTCTCCCTCTTTTTTTTATGTACTTTAAAGTTTTTTATGAATCCCAATATCCTACTTATGTTATTTCTAAAGACAGCGTTCCTGCGTAGTGATTGTCGTGCTGTAGTGTTCCTTCTTCTTCGTCCACACACGCAGCTGCTCAAAGGCTTTAACACGGACATAGTGGATAAAATACATGTTGTATGCAGACTGAAGATGTCTGATGCGAGCGCCGCGTGATGGTGGTGGTCAGGTGACGCGGCTCTGGTGAAGGTGGCTCACAGACAGACACCGCGAAGAGCGCGACACTTCACACTCCAACCGACTTCAACACAACAACACAAAAATAATGTCTATTAGCCGGAAAAACTGGTCTGCTTTGTCAACGTAAGTAGATTGAAATATACATTTAGCGTTTATTCTGTTTGGTCTGAACGGTTTTTGCGGGTTCTGACAGGTTGCAGATGCTGAGGTGTCAGTGTTTATACTGATGTTATGAATGCTTGTGCTATGGACATTTGCACTTAGAAGTATCAGAACTATAAGTGGAATGCAGTTATTGTTAGGGTTTCTACTTTTTTATTTCTTCGCTCTAAATGTTGTAAATGAAAATAATAATACTAATTTAAAAAATCAAACCTTAAGATTTTGAAATAAGCAAAAAAGCCAAAAGGGCACTTAAGTTTCAGAAATATAGCACCCAGGGCAACACTTCCAATATAATATTCCAAATTTACAATCGTCATCATGTGCATTTTGGACGACAACTTTATGACTGAAATAAAAACTGAAAATGCAGTTGGAGTTTGTGCTGCAGGTTGTGATTATTTTGACAGTGTAATGCACTCATATGGAAAGTAATGTCATGCTTTCAGACTGAAGGCATTGAGTATCCTTTAACCAAAACAGAGCTTGACAAACCAGTTATTGCACAATGAAACACTGTTTTCAACCTGAAATACAATAGTTCACCTCTGGGATATATCATCGAGACCTTTGATCGTAATGCATCTTCTCATACTTTCAGAAAGACTGACAGGATGGATTTCAGTAGTCAGCAGCTCAGCACGTCCCTGCCATTTCTTTCCTTTTGCCTCCATGTGAATAGAGCTTTAAATCAGTTCAATGAAAATTTGAATTAAATGCTTTTATAATGTTTCACTGAAATCGAAAGTGGTTGGAGCCAAAAGTTCCAATGTTTTTAAAGCTTTTAGGCAATATGGGCAAAACTATATTTTGGGGATGCAGTAGTATAAGACAATCTACCTTAGTGTCTACCTATCATTTAGCATCAGTGTTCAAAGAAAAGTGCACTCTAAAAAATGCTGGGTTAAATACAACCCAGTGCTGGGTAAAATAGGGACAAACCCAGCAATTGGGTTGTTTTGACCCAGCGGTTGGGTTACTCCCCAGGTTGGGTTAAACATTTAACTCAACCGCTGGGTCAAAACAACCCAATTGCTGGGTTTGTCCCTATTTTACCCAGCACTGGGTTGTATTTAACCCAGCATTTTTTAGAGTGTGGAATGCTGGAAACAGTACGTTTATATGCGTTTTAAATGTGTGATGTGTTTGATCTTCAGGCTGGCTCGACAGTGGACTGTGGAGGATGAGGAAGAGGTGGAGAGAGAGAAGAGGAGGAAGACAAGGGAGTCTACAGCAGACACGGATGAAAGTCCCACTGAAGAGACCAAACCACAAACCAGTAGGTGCGAGATCAAAAAAGGACAAAATTACAGAGAAAACCCAACTCTAGACAACATTAATGGTGTATTTAAGGCAAATAAGTATTAAGGCTCTCTCTTTCCACTTCAAATTGCTTAAGAGCTGTAATTGGCTTGAGACTCAGTGATATATATCAAATTTATGCAAATTTTGTGTTAAATATTTGCATGAAGCAATTGACCTTACAGAACATAAGGATGAGCGCTTCAGAGAGATTTAGATAAAGGTTTATGGTATCATAAAAGCGAATATGAATAGGATCTACATGTAATGTTGTAATTTGGTCTCATAATACCATATGTGGACACTGCCCATGTTTATCAAGAAAAGCAGTTTGCCCCAAAATAAGTGTCTTGTCTGATTAACAAGTTAAGTTTACAAGTATAGTTTCATCTGATGTTCCAAAATGTCTCCCAGTGGCAGAAATGGGTGATGAATCTATCAAAGTACTTTAAAAGAACAAAGACAATGGAATTCTGACCCCCATGGAGGGGAACAGGAAAAAAGATCATCTCAGTTTAGTAGTGCTGTCATCTCCGTGTAAAAAACAGTCTGCATAGTACCTTGTGAAATAATTTGTATTAAATGTGCACTTGTAGCGTACTTCAAATCTTAAAAGTATATCATAATTACAAATGTATAATTACAAATATATTTAAATGATTCAATAGAAATGGCATTAAAGTATGTTTTATTTTACCATCAGTGCTTGTCAGTACATTCAGCAGTACACTTATTTCAAAGAAAACAGAATTATGAAATTACATATAAAGATGTAGCCTACTAAAGTGGTTCAAAAACAGCACTCTGAAGTTGCATTTAATATACATTTAAACTATAATACATTTTCATTTAATTTCAATTAACATGCAAGTGTTCGAAAACAATGCATTCAGTTTACACTTATATTATTTTAAAGTGTATTATTTCTCTAATAAGTCGTCTTTCTAAAAATATGCTGAAGTGTACTTATATTTCCACAAGGTTTTAACCCCTTAAAGTCTTAAACCCCGTATGAATGCATGAAAATGAATTTTCAAAAGCCAACATGGCGTCAACACTCTAAACGACGTCTCACTAATATAATGTTTCCAGTGTTAGCGAGCCTGCTGATGCTGGCGACTCCGGTGGCGGTCTGGCCCAGCTGCAGCTGGATTTTGTGGAGATGTTGCGAGTCCGTGACGAACGGCGGAGGATGAGGCACGTTGAAACCCTGAGGAAGAATAAGGAGGAAGATGATGGTGGCAGAGAGGGTAGCCCGGATAAGGAGCCCCATGTGGAGCTGCTGGGGGAACAGCAGGACGAGGAGCTCTTCAAGAGCGTGCAGCGCTGTGTGGAGACCTTCATGTCACCAGAACCTCCCGCCAACTCCAGAGACTCAGAGACACAGGAGAAGGTAGGAAGACATGGGTTCTCAATGTACAGTGGTTCTTCTGTGTGATGTGATGCTTTTAGAGGATGTTTGCAGTGAAAGTGTTCTGAGGTCAGTTTGGGATTACTGAAACAGTAGATGTGTTCCACAACCAATGAGCTGACAACTTTGAGAGCACTGTCATTGTAAATTCAGACTGATGGCAGACTGATATATTGTCATCAGCCGAAAGCTGTGGCCAACTGGCCAATGAACACTAGAGAAGTGGTTCTCAACTGTTTTGACTTCAGTTTCCCGCAGTGTCCACAACAATGTTTCCCAA